ATTTAAAAAAAAAAATAAAAAATACTCTGTAAGAAATTACTTAATTATAACTTTTTTTTTTTTTTAATCAATTACACAATTAATTTTTTTCTTAAAAAATGAATGAGCGTTATGAGGCGTGCACTTTTGGATTTTCCAAACTTTTTATAAATTTATTTACAACATTTTGAAGCATTGGTATAGTAAGACGATTAATTTTGAATATGATATTAACTTTATACTTTTATCATTTCTTCACTATTCGAAAGTGAAGTGAATTGATCAAATAGAAAATGTAGCAACCGAAAAGATATTAAGCTCTTTCATTGAGGTTAGCGACGTTCCTGATCAGTGATTTAAAATCATCACAAATAAATTTTCTCAGATGTTGCTGTGAATAATATGTCCAGTGTTGACTATTCGCTCCAGTAAATTTATCAACAAAAATCAACGCATGTCTTCAAATTAATGAACTTTGAAAATTTTGTGCTTTGCTAGACAAAGAGAACAATGCAACTGTTTTCGAGAATCCAAGATTTGATACAAATCTAATACTAATAGATGAAGAGCCGTTTTTTTTTGGTCGGTTATACTGCGAAAACTACTGAACTGATCGGAATAATACTTATACCATAAGATGCAGCGTGTTTCAGAGAAAATTTTAGTATATATGATATGTTGATGATTACTTATCTGGAACCTATATTATTTTGACTTAGAAATAATGAGTTTTTATTGTTACTCAATTTATTCTATTCGATTGTCATTTGTTTAAAATAAATTTTTTAATTATATTGGTTATGTTTATATACTAGGCAGATTTCTGTACTTGTGAGACCTGCAATTTCTTCAACTAAAACTTTCAGTGCTTATTAAAATTTTTTTTTTTTGCACGACTCATGATGCGAAGCATCAGAGAGTGCTTTACGATCGAAAAATTTTTTTCGCCTCATTTTGGCAGCTATTTTTATTATTATAGCCTTGTTAGTTCACGGAATCAAGATATTTTGCATACTATTGTCGAGATAATTTAATGGAGATTAATTCCATACTTGCTAAAAAATAATTTAGTGCAACAGAAATGGAAATAAATATCAAAATAGGTCAAAAAATTTCCCTGTCCGTCATGTATGAAACTCTGGAAACACTGTAACTTGTGAAAAAATCAATTATTTGAGTTAAATTTTTTTTTTTATTTCTAATCGACAATTGTAGATCACCGAATGTGAATGGCTAATTAATTCAGTGTCGTTTAATTACAATTAATAAAAAACGAAAACTACAAAACTGTATACCTATATATTATAACGGAAGTTTGCCTGACCTGGGGATTTACCAAGCCAGGCTCACCGTTTATTTATTATTTGGCTTACTTAAAAAAAATTTTATCATTAATAAAAGGGCGCCAGGAGAATGATCTCCAACTAATTACTGCTTCGACTTCGGCTAGCTATTACCTCTTCTTCAGGGTGGCGGGCCATGCTGAAATACTCGTCATTAAAAAAAATGGATAGCAAAATAAACGAAAGGCTTAAAATTACTTGAAATAAATTCGGAAGAATTAAATAAAAAAAATAACAATTTATTTAACAAATATATGTCGGCGGTCGATATTCATTTTTAACACAAATTATTAAACGTCGTAAATTAAATTTGCACTTAATTTTACCAAAATTAAAATTAATAAACGTCGTTATCTCAACTTCAATTCTTACACTCGCAGTCATACATCAGCAATCACACTATGTAATAACAGTATCACAAAAAAATATAATCGTAAAGCGTTGAATCCTCGCGTATTATTTTGTTACTCAAAATATTTTACAAAATTCCAACGTGGACTCTCAACGCTGGATTCAACACTGAACAAGAACGTCGGCTTACCACGAAATTGAGCGTCGTCCTCATCTTAGCAGCTTGGAAAGCTTCGTGCGGTCGACTCAAATCAATAAAAAAATTTTTAAATAAATACTCAATATAAATTACAATTAATTTCAAATTAACTACTCGCGACAATAGTTCGAAATTAATTTTAGGTTGCGGAGCGCGCAAAAGCGCGTCCGTTTCCGTTGACAGTCCAGCCTCGAATCGTCTTCTTCATGGAGAAGTATCCACTTCTTTCTTCGTTGAAGTTGGCGGCGCTAGTCTTCATTTCCATTGGAATTGATCCGCGTCGATAGTTGATCTAGGTCCGTATAACAGTCAACGGACCTTCACGACAGTTTTTAGTCACCTCTGCTCCTGCAGTACTGACTAACCAACTGTCATCGATGTTGATCGTCGTATTGGAAAATAGCGGCACTGCAGCGTCGATCGGTATCCAGGCCTCTCGGGTGTTTACGGCGCTTGGTGCCTCGTCACTTCGGTACTCGCTTCGGTACTAGCTTGTTTACGTCGTAGCTCCATCCTTGTCGCTCCAATGCATAGCCTCGTACCCACTGTGACTCGCTCTGTCTTCGTTACTCGTCCAGCGTTACGCATTTTACACAAAATAAATTCATAAAAATTAGTACAATTTTCATTCATTCACACATAACATTCACGACGTTGGATTCGAGCCTGGAATATTATAATACCCCAAGTATTGGGCGTCGAATAAAAATTTACCACGTTACAATGGACAAAAAAAATTTCATAAATTCAGTATTCATTTTTTGGAATCTTGATTTTCAGGCGATAATAAGAAGCGAGTTTCATTTAATAACTTGACAAAATTCTAACCGCACTTCATACAGCCAGTATTTATTCTTGATCAAAGTAGATTAGAGTTTAAAAATTGATAATCGCTGATCGAAAGGTGTAATAAAATATATTGTAGGTAATACGAAGTTCACCGGGTCAGCTAGTAATTAATATTAATAATAAATAATAATAATTATATCAATTATAAAATTATTGTATCAATTTCTAATTAATAATGTATCAACAAGTCCATTTTTCTGTTAAAATAATTTTTAAATATTCAAAATTTTTTAATTTTTAAATACAAAATAATGATAATTCAGTGATGATAATTCAATTCAATTCATAAAAGTATGCAATTTTTCATCAATGTTTTTTTATGACGTTATCACGTAAAACTATCGTCCGTAAACCGACTTTACAGACAACCAATTTTTTTTTTACATAGCTTCAAAATTTTATATTAAATCGTTTGGTTAGGTAATAAATAATCTTTTTGTGTTTAAAAAACTACCTCGAATGCTGCAAGTCCCATCAAAAACGATTGATTCGTCCGGAAGATATCGCAATTAAAAATTTTCAAAAAAGTGTGTTTTTAACAACCACAAGAATTTCGAGCTCGAAGAGTTCGCGAAAGAGTAAAAGTTTTGTTTTTGAGCTCGAAGAGATCAAAACTTCGAAAGTGATAATTTTTCGGCTGTTTTGTACATAATAGCGAGAAGTTCCAGGGATGGCCTGCAGGGTCAACCGTTTTCCAGAGTTTTTTTCAATTTTTTCGTTATAAAAAAATAAAAATATTCAAAATTTTTAGATAATTTTAGGTCATTTTGTGGGTCTAATATTCTTAGTCTGTCTTATAAATTTCAATGGAAAAAAGTTTGAAAAACACAATTTTTAGAATGGTGTGTTTAAAGTTTCAAGTACGGTTAAATTATCCGAACATTTGCTTCGTCTAACTGCTGTATCTTTAAAATGACTTCAAGTTATAGAAAATCACTATCCCAGCATATTTTACACATGTTAAAAAATCAATAAATGCAAAAAAAAAAATCAATTTTTGGAACCCATCACGCGGAGAAACCCCCTTAAATAAAATATTCATAATAATCGTTACCAAGGAGTATCATATTATATTGCTCACACTTTTCCAGCCTAGAAAACGTGCGATGAAGAACTTTAAAAAAAAAAATGAACCAACAAACAAAAATAAATATGTCGTGACAATTATGAAAAAAAATAATTTTTTCAATTTAATATTATTCTTAAGAAATAACATTGCATTATTAACATAGAAAACAATTAGATACTCTCTTAAATCGAATTAGTAGACTTCGACTACTTGGTAGTGAATATTCATTATTTTGTTGAACAATATTTATCACCGATATACATTGCACTACTAAATAGTGGAAATCTACTAATTTGATTCAAGAGAGTAACAGCAACTAATTACCACAGTAAAATACAAGAAAGATTAGCAGAAATTAAAATGTGTTTTCAGGTACGGCTAATTGCTGGCCCCTTGCCTATACCATTGCCAAGGAATTATAATGGCTTAATGCAATTTGAAAATGCTACACATGGTCCTATAGTTCTAGGATGTGCTATACCTATGATACCAGAACGACCTATAACTACTGTTGCCACGCCAGAACTTTTGGAATTAGTTACAACAGGTCCTGGTGCACCACGAGTTAAACGAGTACGATTAGGTTTTCCGTCTGAATCAAGACTACTTGGATCTCCTAAAATGCAACGGTTACTTTCAGCTTGCAGGTATATTGTTATGATATTAATTCTTTGAAATTGATAAAAGAATATATAAGACTGTAATATAATAAAATAATGAATAAATAAATTGTTTTTCAGACGTGCCTTGGATCAACGAGCAACTGAACCTCGTATAGCGCCACTAAAACTAGTAAACAGTGATAATCATCCGAAAGAATTGCATCTTAAAGAAATAAAATCTCAACTAGAAGCTAAACCACTTTTGCAAAGCTTGAAAGACAGTTTAGAACACATGAAGAAAACAACAATTTGTGATCACTCTTACTCAAAAAGTAGTGGAAATTCCAGTAATCCAAGCTTTCTCGAACGGTTATCAAAAATTACTCATAGTAATAAAAGTAGGAATCCAGCTAAGAAATCAGCATCTTTTACTTTTGCCGTTCGACCTGAAATTGGTATGAAAGTATCAGATCCATACGGTAGTCTTGAATCTGATACAAATGCATTAACATCAAATTTTTATAATGATAATGCACAGAGACAGCTTGTATATAGGTCAATATCAACTAGTGCCCTTGAGATCCAAAAAAAAACTGGTTCCAATTTTCCTTACTCAAAAGTACGAGATAGTCTAACTCAACTTCCATCTGCTTCACCTCTCAAAGTAGAAGATATTTACACAGAAATCTGTGATCCATCAGATATTGGCTCCAAGGAAAATTTCTGTCGATCATCAAAAGTAAATTCATCATTGAGTAAAGTATGTATCAATAGAAAAAATAGGGGGTACATAAAATTCGCTACTCATTCAGAAGTATCAAATGTATCAAGCACGACGATAGAAGAAGAAAATATTTACAACACAGTCAGTTAAGCATGATAAATAGATGATTATTTATCCTCAAATTTGGTAATGAAAGCAGCGAAATTTACTTGTGGGTTAAGTTAAAAATGTTATTATAATGAGTATCAAAAAAGTAGAACTATCCATCAATTTAATTAAATGCTTCATAAGGCTTTAGATTTAACTTACATTTGACAGTTTATTATTATACGATGGAAAAATAATAAAGTTATAATATAAGTTTGATTAAAAATGCAATTTCTTTTCTTTAAAAGTATATAAAATTTTGTTTGATTCAATTTCCTTACTTTATTACTATTCACTATACATCAATAATCAAAAATTTTTACAGTGTGTTAGCTTAAAATTAATTATTTCGATAACACCACAATGTTAATTTGACACTTTTTTTTGTGTTACCTGAATTTTAACATGAAAATAGTGTTGTTTTCACGATATCAACACTTTTTGTGTATTACTAGATAAAATGACACAAAATTAGTGTCAAGCAGGAAATATTAACACTAAGTTTCTGTTGTTAGCGCGTTCTTTCTTCAGTTTACGCACCAAACGCATTGTTATACCGGACAGCTACTTAACCACTCGTGTGTGTAAACTAAAGTGTTAAATATTGTGAAAAATAGTTTATTTAAATATAGGGGAGGGGGGGGGGGGGCAAAATGGGGGGTAAAAATTTCGTAAAAAAAATTTTTTTTTCCAAAAAGCTTTTTTAGCTTTCTAAAATATATTTAACATCATTTCGTACGATTTCAGAGGAGAAAAAATTTTTTAATTAAAAAAAATTTTTTTTCTAATTTTTTTTACATGCAGTAAAAAAATTTTCGTCAAATTTAACACAAATATTTGTGTTACTGACTGTTTTTACACAAACTAATGTTAATTCTACATTCTAGT